GCGAACTGCCACGCCCCCTGGCGCCCGACAACCTTGAAAGGTTGGGGACCACTGCTCTAGTATAAGGGACACATTTTCAAAGGATTCAATCTAGTGAATGAATGGCCCTATAGATTGTAACTCAGGACATCTGTGTTCAAACTTCCTTCACCTTTCTCCTTGCCTTGTCATCTGACATTGTAATAGATTGGGATGGGTTTGAAGTCTCCTGTGCAGACCAAGCCCTGACTATTCCATGTATTCAACCAAGTTACTTGCAGAACAATATTCTACCTGTTCTTAATGGAGTGTGCTTGTGCCCTACAGTTTGGAGATGCAGGTTTGCGGCTTCTGTCTGAACATCTCACCATGCTGCAAGTGCTCAACTTATGCGAGACTCCCGTCACAGATGCTGGGCTGCTGGCACTGAGCTGTAAGTGACCCAGATATACTCTAGGAGAAATTCATATGAGTTCAAAGAAAAGGATTTTTGTGCTGTGCAGTGGATGTCCAGGCTTCACTTTCTGTTAGCATTAGTTGTAACCATTTGGCTCTCTGAATCTCCCCAGCTTGTTAGATGCTGGATTTGGGGTACCCCATGGGACTCTCTGCCCAGGAATAATTAATCTCTGTCTTATGCTAAAGTGCACTGTTCTTAATGCTACACCACCTCCTCATTGTGAGCATTCTGCCATTGGTGAGACTGTGACCTTATGGAGAGTCAGATAATGGCAAAGCCAAGATGGCATGTAGAGCTGCATGATAAATCAGCTGGGCAGATTCTACATTCCCAGCACTGTGTTTTGTGTCTGTGGTGTTTGGGAGGTGAGATCCCGGCTTTACTTCGTTAACATTAGTGGCAAGTAGGAAAAAGAGGACTGAGCTAGCCACTCAGGATTTCTCGTGCTGCGGGCTGCTCGAGATGGCAGGTTGAAAAGGTAGGGGAATTGCAGATGCAAAGGCTTGTGATGCGTATCATGTGCTACATGGTTAGCTCTAACATAGATCGGCAGCTGTCTGACATCACAAGCAGTACCAGATGGGCCAATACTTGATGGCATGGTGAATTCCCAGGCAGAACAGTCAGCTCAACAATACACTGCAGCCCAAAATTAATTAGATAGCATGGAGAGAGGACCATCTTTATTTCTAGATTAGCATATCCTCTTGCACCGTCTGAATGCCCTCATGGTGCAGACTGATGCTATTCGGCATGACATTTATGCAACCAGTGCATTGGGAATAAAAGCTGTGGTTCGGGAGAGTGCTTAAATCCTACTCAAGTCAATGAGGTGTAAGCACATGTATGAAAGGCCATTCCTGACCTGGGACCAGTATGCCATTGCCCAGATTTGAAGTTGTAAATTTTACTCTTTTAACTATGTTAACGGTTCTTTGAATACATATTGGCCTATGAATAAACCTGAATTAAGTGGGTACAGGTAGGCCAGCCCATCAATATCTCTCTGTATGTTTTTCTTTTTTTAGCCATGAAAAGCCTGTGTAGCCTAAATATGAACAGCACCAAACTCTCAGCCGACACCTATGAAGATCTCAAGGTATTTCAGTTTGAGATCCATTTGTAAAAGTCAACAAATAGTCTGTGAATACCAACAGCATTGGCATAAAAATACTAACGCATTGTGTAACATAGGCCAGTATAACTGGTATCCTGGAATTAACGTGTTAGGATAGGAGCAGCATCTTTATCTATTTTTGTCCTCATGATGGGTGACTGGTGGGGCAGCCTTTGGGGGAGACCTTGTATTTTACCTGTTAGAAAAAGAAGTTCCATAATCTAGCAGTTCTGGAGAAGTGGATGATCTGGAAATGCCCAGATGAAGAAGTAGACAATGCCTAAGTTTAGGTGTTTCTGTATCTGTGTGTGGAGCATTTAAATAGAGTGTAACAAATCCAGGAAGGTTTAAGTCAGGAAAAGCACATTGTGCAGTCTGAGCTATAGGATTTTGGGGGGAGGGGAGGAAAGTGATGGCAGAAATAACATTGTGGGGTTTTGTTTCTCGGTGACACCTACATCAAGTCTGCTGAATGCATAAGTAAACAACTAGGAATATAAAACTCAAGCTGGATTCTTTCTGGCTTATGTGCTATTAGAAATGAAATGTTCCTATCACAGAATTTTTAATTTGTTCTATTAATGATGCACAAGCTGGAATAGATTTCTAGTTCACTCTCCCAGAGCTGTGTGCCCTCTGGTGCTAGCAGGATTAAAAGAAGTAGCAATTTAATTAGAAGATTGGACTCAGAATACATACAGGACATTAGACTGGGCAAAAAAGTCATTTTTACTTAGAAGTTTATAAAGGCAGAACTCCTGTTTACAGAGAGACACCTGAGCTCTGCCCCACATGCCATGATTTACCATATTCGGAGTTTGTTGTCAACATTCTTACAGGAACTTGATAGTAGGGATGTTAAAATGTGTATAATTAAGTAACATTTTCAGTGGTTACATGTGGGGCAGCAGGTGGCTCCCCGGGGATTCCTAACTTTTAAGGTGACTCCCCACATGCATCAGGAGCCTGTGAGAAACTGTGAACTTAAACCAATGAGTGCAGGCTCATGAGTTAACTGTTTACACGGTTACACTTTCACATCCTTACTTGATAGTGTGGTGTAATGTGCTGAAGTGAAGCAGGGGTAGAAAAACAGCCTTGGGTGGATTCAGACAAAGGCTGTGTGAAGCGTGATGGTTTTGATTCTTATGACTGTACACGGACTTTTTCTTTGATTCAGTTTTGAGTGAGTCATGTCTCTGGAGATTTGCTTTGTAAATGCAGGCACTCAAAATGAAACACCGTGTTCCATCAACTTTCGTGTCAAAATCTAAGATTTTGTCCCGGGTTCACTCAAAAAGGTCACATATCTGGGCTGAGCTTTGAATTTGAGATAAGTCTAGGAACCAGCTGAATTAAACTGATTTAAGGTTTTGTTACAAACACATGTCCTAGTTCTTGGTTTGGAGACAGTTCACCTACAGATCTGATCACGGCAGTTAACATATGGACTTTTAAAGGCTAGTTTTTCCCATCCTCAATGTGCTTGTGCATCATACTTGTGTGTGTAAACAATTACATGCCGCTGAACTCCTGATTTGTACATCTAGTCAACACATTTGCATTTGCCTCTAATACTAGCTTGAGCAAATGGTTGTTTCTGCATCAGTTACACACAGTCATGGTCACTAACTATTGATCCCTGAAAAAACAACACTCTCCTGAAACATGGTGTATTAAAATAAACTAGTTTAAAAAAAACCTTCTGGTTCCAGTTCCCTGAGCTCTTCTGACATTTTCTATGGCTTTATAGTCAAATTTTCCTGTTTGGGCTTCTGCTCTGACCTGGCGCTGCAGGGAAAGACCCGTAGAAGCAACACAAGAAAGTGATGTCGATAGCGAAACCAGCATGAAGTGTTGTCAGTTGAACAAAATTAAGCAAACTGAAATAACAGATACACAAATCATTTCCCTCTCTAATCCCTTTTATTTCCATTAATCTGAGGGTGCACTTGTGAAAGTAGTAGGAGGAAAAAAAATCCAGAAGTGTGACTTTTCCAAGAGAGAGACCAGCTTTTCCTTAGGCACTTGGTTTTTATATCTCTTGGGAATTTTGAATTCAAGAGTTTATTTGTGATAAAAACCTTTCCTCCCCACCCCACATGTCTCTGTGAGAATTCAGCTCCCAAGCCCTTAGGAGCAATGATGACATTTCCTGTCCAGCCCCCATCTGCCACCAAACACACTTGCGTGTACACAGATGCCCACATACGTACCAGGCAGGCTGAACCAGACAATAAATAAACACCCACAACTGAAGTCATTATTGCCTAACTGAAAAATTATTTGCTGGCAATGTCTGTGCTATTCTGACTAGCGCTTATCAAAATATATGTGCACATAAATCTAAGCGCAGAGGTAATAATCGCTCCTAGAAACTTCAGCAATCCCCTAATGCACTAGTAATTAAAAGTGTTTGTTTTTAGAGACTTATACAGTTGCAGTAAGAGACCATGGAAATGCAACTGACAAATAGCATCAGCACAAAGAGCCCAAGCCCAATCTTACCTGCACCAGTAGAGAGTGGGAGTAGCCCCAGGGATATTGATGGAACTATACTTTAAGTGAGATCAGAATTAGGCCAAAAGTCTAACAACCTAGGGGGGGGGGAGAGTTATAATTGTGAAGGGGTGGGAAATCTGTCGCTTGCATCTTGAGGGAGAAATGTGTGGTGCTATGTACTTTATTAGGTGACTACCGTAGTGTCATCTGATTGGTTTTATAAATGCCATTTTAAAGTTTCACAGCCAGCAAGTTGTGTTAATCAATTATAGCCGGAACTAAAGACCATGGTCTGGTCCTCATTTTGCATCAGTATAATCCCCTTGCCTTTAGTAGAGATGTTACTTGTTTATATTGGTGTAACTGAGACCAGAACCTGTCTATCTTTGAACTGGGTTTCTCATTGTGTCTTGATTAAGGCCTGGAGTCATTAAGCAATTACGTGTGTTCTTAACTTTATAGAGATTGGGGCTTCTCCTGTGCATAAATTAAGAATGAACTTAGGTGTTGTTAGGATCAGGGCCTTTCTGGGCCTTTCCTCATATTATTCTGACAGTGCAGACTTGTGAGAACTTTCTTTTGGATCCTGAAACCTTATCAATAATTCTGATTTTTTCCCCCTTTTTTCAAAACAGGCTAAATTGCCCAACCTGAAAGAAGTGGATGTCCGCTACACTGAAGCATGGTGAACTCTCTTTGCCTTTAGCTTCTGACAAAAAGAAGATGATTTTAAAAACAAAACCAGAAAATAAATCAACTTTTGGCTAATACCTGTAGAGCAGTGAGTTCTGGGACGTCACTTCTAGCAGTTGTGGTTGTGAGGTAGAAGTGTTGCTGTGTGTGGAGGAGGGTGAACTGAGCATGCCCAGACCCTGCCTAATTCTTTCAGCTTTGTAATTTCAAAAAATCAACATAATTTAAATCGAAAAACAAAAAAAGACTTTGTAGCAGCAAGAGGATTCTAACAAGGGGGAAAGCCCATCCTTTGTGGATTTTATTTGCCTTTGTGTTTTATGCTGTGTGGAGGAAAAAAAGAATACATCAATTTTTCATGGTTTTAATTGGGTTTCCTCAGCTGGAGTTCATTTATTAGAAACTCCCCCTTCACCCTTTTTTGTTCCAGGAACGCAACCTATATCAAGAGAAGAAAAAAACCACACATGATTTTTGCACCTCTCCCTGTTTCATTGCAATTGTTATGCAAAGTAATTTTGTTGTACATAAGATTTACATAATGCACCTATTTAAGAAAATGGTTCACAAATAACAGGTCTGGGACCTGTCTTTTATTTATGAATTGTTAATTCTTCTCCTTTTTTTTTTTCCTTTGCATATAGTACTGTATTAACTAGTTTGCTGTCCTGTTGTTGGTTTGTTTGGGTTTTTCAAAGCCCTCCTTGAGGAATTGCCTTTTAATAATGCATAGCGTATTATAATCTGACTGTCAGGACATTTTCCGCCATTGCATTTATGATTTTAAAATGCCTCTAACATCGTGAAGTCCAAAGAAAAACATATATTTAAAAAGTGGTGAATGTAGGGGCACAGGGATGTAAATTTCATTCCTGAACGACTGAAATCTTTCTTTGATCCTCTTCAGGCCCCATCAGGCTTAAGAATTTGGGTGAGGGTAGGGAAATGGTGTCAGTCATTTTACTGATGCGATATTTATAAAACTTTGTAAATTTCCCAAGTCACCTATGTCTTTTTTGTGTATGTCCAATATTTCAAACAAAAGTTCTCCTGCAATTTTGTGCATAAGGTTTTTTTTCTTTCCCCTTCCTCTCCCCCCCC